TACAGTTAACTATATTTAGAAGTAGTACTAAGAAAATTTTTTAAGATAAGAATTACATGGCATCTAGCATATTATGTACTTTTATTTTAACTTAGAAAATATGAGAATGTTCTTAATAAAATTCAAGACAATTATACAAAAATTAGACAAAAAAAAGTTTAACAAGCAAATTTGCTTACTAGATGGTTTAAGAAATAAAAATCTATAAAAAATTAGATTATTTAAATCTAAAATTTTAAGTTTTAATATAGCATTTTAACTATTTGAAGATTTCTTTTATATATATAAAAAATACTTAACTCAAACTTTATTTTATAAATAAATATTGTTTTTATTTTAGTTAAAAGTATCTAATTTCTAGAGAATAATTACAATTCAAAATAAATATAAAAACATTTTAATAAGTAAATAATTATAGAATAAAACTTTATCCTATTAGCAAAATTTTTTTTAGTTTTTTTATAAATTAATTTTATTTACTTTTCGTTAGTTTTATTTTACTTTTTATTTCATTATTTTTATACCTAATTTTATAATCTTTTTCTTTTTTTATTTTTATTTTTCTTATAAGAAGATGTCTTTCAAATTGATAATATTCTATTACGTATAAAGTAAAAATCAAATGAGTTGTAATTCTAGTCCTGTTTGTATTAGTATAACACTTCATATTTAAATACTATTTGAGTAACCAAATAATGACATACTAATATGTTAAATAATATTCTATAATTGTATATGTAATTACAAATAGTTTAATAAATTACTGTTATAACTACTTAAGAAAAAAATAAAAAAAATTAAAATAACTAAAACTATATATTTTTGATTATTTAATTAAAATTAGAATAAAAATCAATTAAAAATCAAATAAAAATACCTTTTTAGTAGTGTTCTGAAATAGTTTAAACACATGTTACTTTTATTTTTTGTATTTTTGACTTTTTTTCGTTTTTGTCTTATTAGACTAATCTAAGTAAATTAAAATATTATTACTCAATTGATTATTTGTTATGTGAACATACCTGGCTTTAGAAAACCCTATATAAGAAATAGTATATTATAATAATATATGAATAGAACACGAACTGCTAGACATGGATCGGTCCCAAGCAGATTGCAAGACTTTGAGAACATTTTTTATTAGTAAGCCACTAATTAAAGTTATTTAAAACGAAATTTTAATAACACTTATTGAAAAATAGTGAAAAACCTACTCTAACAAGTATGATTATATCGATCCTAGATCAGTCCCAGGACCAGTCCTAAAACTCACATTTGGGAATCTTGAGAAGCTTTGCCACTATCTTTTAATAAGTAACTACTGTTAAAATTTTGGTTTAAATAACTTTAATTAGTGGCTCACGAAGAAAAAATGTTCTCAAAGTCTTGCAATCTGCTTGGAACCGATTTGGGACTGATCCATCCCAACAAACTGCTCTAATAGATTTAGGTTATAGATTAATAGTACAAACTTAGGTACATAGTCTAAGCTCATACTAGCAAGACCTTAAAAAAGAAAAATTATAACATTTTTATATATGAAATTTTTTAAAAAAAAGCTGCCCGGCCGGCCGGGTCTGTTTAAAAGCTTCATGTTATAAAAATCAAGATATTAAATTTATATGACCTTATTGAAATGCATCATCAGGATTTTGGTAAATGTTTGGGGTTTGGAATTTTGTCCAGAATTTATACTTGGGATTTTTGGGGGCAATAACCCAAATCCTGATCAAAAACTGCCGTAAGTGTCAATTTGTGCCAAAATAGTTTGGATTGCACACCACTAGTAGGAACGCTATCTAAAATTACAGAAATAAATTAAGTAGTGATAATAGAAATTTAAGGTTAGAGCGTCAGTTTGAAATAAACATAATTTTCTGTATATGAAATTTTGTTCCCAACATCTTTAGTTTCTTTCGGGCTGATTCGGAATAATCAAAATTGAATTCGCTATTCGCTGATTGGCAGTTTTCTTTTTAGGAGGTTGTATTACTCGTGAAAATAAGTGCTCCGATATGCCGCACGACCATGCCTTGTCTGATTAACGTTAACGTTAAAGCTCTTGCATTATTTATATTAACACAGTCATTAACGCCGACGCTAGAAAAAAAAAAAAATCAATGCAATTACACTGATAATGGTACGTACAATGACCACCAATCATAATCCTATTTTAGGGTTTATATACAGTTATACAGTTACGTTTAAGTCAAGTCATCATATGTTGCTACTGAAATGTATAATGATAAAGATAAATTTAGTAAATACTTGGTTACAATCTGTAAAGCATCTAACACGATAATGCACTAAGCCTTACAGAACATTATTTCAGAAATAACCCGTGACAAGTATAAAAAGGTATATCAAAAAATCTTTGTTGCTACAACTATTCAAACTATTCGAACAAAGAAAATGGCAGCAGCTACTCTTCCGGAAACTTGTCTTCGTAAAATTTTTAATAGTTTTAACAATTTAGATTATAATATAAGCTTTAAACGTTCACTTGTCTTGATTAATCGTTATTGGTGCGAAACTCTTACACCGGAGCTCTGGAGTGATCCTTTTGAAA